AGTACTACCAATCTGGTTATTATTTGATTCAGACATAAAGTTGCATCATGTAGAGCTAACTAAATAGTAATATAAGAGACTAATAGGAACAAACAAATAACACAGTCAAAACTGTAAGTCAGTTACTTGACAATTAGATATATTATATAATCTACAAACAACTTAGTTAATAAAAGGTGTATTAGATTTGATAAGTGGTATTTATAATTACAGATATTATCATAAAATAAAAGCAAGAAAGTATTAGAATCAAATTTTGTTACAAATATAAACTACTTATTTTTGTAGAACTTGAAATCTTTATTATATATTAGTTTATTACATATGCATTTTTAAAGATACTAAACATAATAAACCTATTAAACATATTATTTTTTATATATCCTTTTAATATTTTTTATTACTTAAAACTTTTAATTCTCATATATCCTATTAATTATAATTTTTTCTTACAATCCTTATTACTACTATTATTTCTATATCTGCTAATAGTTAAATAACTTTTGTAAATGGTAATACTGTAAAACTTATTTTAGATAGATAATCAACATAAATGTAATTACATTGTTGCATTGCATCAATTATTTCCTGTTACATGCTTCTAGGATTATGTTTCTACAGCTTATATAAGTTACTAGTATGGTGTAAAAAAAATACTGAATTATATAAACTTTATAAAAAATTAAAATTTAAGTTAGCTGTAAAATAAGTCATAAAAGATTCTATACAAATTAAAACTAATACTTAATACATTAGTATAATCAATACACAGCAATTATTTCTAACTTATTTTAAACAACTTAAGTATTTAGCTAATATTAAAAGTTTTTTGTATAAGTTGTAAAAGATACTCTCTTGATGTAGCATAGTAATAGTTTAATAAATATGAATTTTATTTTTTTAAAAAATTTCATAAATATAAAAAATATCTTTTAAGCTTTTTATTGAAAGAAGAAATATTAATATAAAAATTAAAAATATAATATTAATAATTATGTAATTAACTAGAAATAATAACTTTAAATAATATATTCATTTGAATAGATATACTAATTTTAATAAGTTCTAAGTAATTGAAAGTATATAATAAAAGCTTTATATCTTAATAAAAAATCTGATTTCAATACATTTCATTTTCAATAAACTATAAATTTTTTCTATATCATAAAATAAACATTTCTCATAAGTGGTATAATCATTTGCTGTAATTATTGTTTATGTTAATATACTGTTATTCTTTTTAGTGTTTTTTGGCATACTAAGAATTACTATCTTTACTTGTTTAACAATCTTGATTTTGACCTATTGAAGATAGTTGAGTAGACTTGTGTTTTGGCTCTAGGTCCCAAGAGAAAGTAACTCAAATTTTTGCTGAATAAAAGCATAAGGGTTAGTGTGCATATTCTGAACTATCAAAATATAACACAAGTAAAAGAAGATATATCTATGCTCATAAATCCAACTTACTCCAAATCTAACTGTTAAGTTGATTATATGTTACATGACAATTCAGTTTGTAAAGAGGCAGAATTACAGCAGAGGCCATTAATATTACACATGTATTAAAACTGGTGAAGGTTGTATCCATCACATTGAGTTTAACATAAATAATTTAATTTGTTATTGATCACAGATGAGGGATTAACTTTGGATTAGGCACTATCTTTGCTGTATAAAAGACTCGCCAATTGTTGTTGTCAATAGTATTTAGCATTGTAATGTGCTACTTTCCCGTTAATAGTTCTTACTTAATAGTTCTTGTTAAAATAAATATAAAACCATTAATACGTAAGTCATTCTTTAAACAACATTATTATAACATGGGTGTTAATAAACCAATTTGGCATCATTTTGAAAAACTTGGATCAGACCCAGATTATAAACAATGGCGTGCCAAATGTATTATTATTTAAAATATATTAATTTAACAAGAAGTTATATATTTTTAGTGATAGTCTTTATGTATATTTTTATAATTAAAAAAAAACCATGTTATATTCCGCATGAGATTTTTAAAAAGCTGCAATTTGCCCATCACTACATGGAATACAGTGATCTTGTGGAGTAATAACAAACTTACGGTTATGTTGATCATTTGCCTAAAATGGGGTTCCCGGTAATAAAAGTCGTAAAAGTACTACAAGTTGTTTCGGGTCTCTAGTAAGGATGGCTCCGAAATTCAAAATAGAAATTCAAATAATTAATAATCAAAGATATTGTTGTAATTTTCTTTTTTGAATTTCGGAACCATCCTTAGTCTCTAGTGGCTAGAAGGGTTATTAATGCAATAAGGAGAACGGTAATTAGTGGGAATCAAGGGTTTTGAATGGTATAATTAGTTAAAGTGACAAGTCACAGATGTTATGTTTACTAGCTTTAGGAGTTGTATGTAATTAAAAGTATATAATAAAGTCGTTTCGCCCTAGAAGAAAACAATAGTTCGTGACTCCAATAAATGGGATTTTTAATATGGGATTATTTGGCCTGCATTAGCATATCATCCAACCTGCATTAAATATCATCCGGCCTGCATTAAATATCATCCGGCCTGCATTAACATTAAGGGGTCAATTTCTAATTTGTATTTAATGGCGATAATTAATTTTGTGTGTGATAAGGGGTATCTATATTTGGATCTGAGATTCATCAAGATTGCCATCCGAGATTCATTCAAGATCGTCATCCCAATATTAATTCCATTAATCGATAGTATACAATGAATTATAAAAACGGATATTAACGGTAACGTGCAGAATGTGGAGTCTTGGTCATGAAATGATAGGTCAGGTTAAATCTTTTTCTGCATTGACTATTTCAAAGCTATATATATTATGTAAAATGCAAAGTTTTGAAGCCTAATCTGTAATTAGTTAAATTGACAAGGTATCAATAAAGTTCAGAATATGGGGGTGAGCCAACAGAATCTAGGCAAATTTTAATAAAAACAATTTGCCTGGATTCTGTTGACTCGCCCCCATATGCATATATGCGTCGTAAGACGAGTTGAACCTCATAAGATCTTATAGATTAATTACTGCGTCATATTTGCATTACTGTGACACCGGTCATACATGTTCTAACGAAATGAAAAGATTTATACTATGTCATATTTATGTTACTGTGACTCAGTGGTGATCCCACATATTGGTTCGGCGATCAGGATAACTTATGATCGATATACCCTTTAATGTAGTGTTCCGAATTGGTAAAAATTTTTCCAATCGATTAGTTGCCAATTATAACTAATCGAATTTTCTTATCATGTGACTAAATTTGTTGGTTGGCCAATTAAACTAAAAAAAATCAACACAGACCAGGTCGAATAGACGGAATATCTCAGAATAGAGTCCCAATTCGTCATCCATGAATGTATGAGAATGAAAACCCGTAATAAATCATTAAATGTATTTCCTGATTTTCATTCTCACGCACTCATATCTGAATTTATCCAGATATCTATTTACTACTGATATCCGGATGAACCGACAAATATTCGGATAATTGTCCAGATATTAATAGTAATACGGATATCCGAATAAATTCAGATCTGATAAACGGAAAATGGATAGAAACTCTCGGAATTTAACTAGTTGATGATTTAATCAATTAGTTGTTTCAAAATTTTCCAAATCGATTAGTTTGAAAGTTGTCAACCAGTTGGTTTTTCATCTAACGATTTGGATCACTACTTTAATGCACCCGTAGTATTCATATGTATTCAATCGCACGTGTATACAGTATCTGATGTTTAATTTTTTTTTAATAATATATATATACATTGGGTATATTAGAAAAATAAAAACTACATGAATAACAATGTCTAAAGTGCACACTTCCACTGATATGACCATTGAAAACAGATATATTTTATTAAGAGCTGAATACTTACATGAAATGATGTTTCGCACTTAAATAGAACAATCTACGAGACCGCGATTTTCATCAAACGCTGTATGGGGAACACCCACATGAGTGCTGCAGAATTAAAACATGGAAGTGAATATTTAAGTAGAGTCCCAATCCGGATAAATCCGCCATCCATCTGAATTCATCCGGATATCCATTTACTATTAATATCCAGATAATCCGGCAAGTATTCGAATAATTATCCGGATATCAAGAGTAAAACGGATATCCGAATAAATTCAGATCCTGATAAATGGATAACGGATAATGGATCGGAACTCTATATTTAAGTTTTCATTGTAGCGAACGTAACCCCTAAAACATTATTATATTACGTACGATGATCTGTATTTGATTTTTTCATCTCCACCAGAATCTAAAATCTAGAATCCTGGTGGAGACGAAAAAATCAAACAGATCATCAATACCAATACGTAATATCATAATGTTTTAGGGGTTAAGTTCGCTACAATGAAAGCTTAAATATTCATCATTCTGCAGCACTCATTTAATCTAAAATAGTAACTAATCTCCTATAATAAATCTCCGAATGAAATTTATTAAATATTTTCATGCGCGCGTATGTTTACGTATATACGTATCAACTATTCCTCGGGTATGGCACCACTGCCTTTGGAACTTCCACGCTAATCGTTTCTTTGGAGGTGCAGACTGATGGTCCTATCTGTTAAGTGGAAAGCAATGTTATATATCACCGTTTTTACATAATTCCGAAATGAAAGATTAATTAGTATAGAACAAAATGTAAGAGAAGCAGATAAAAAGAATAAAAAAGGTAAGTAATAAAAAGAACAAGAAGATATAAATAAGACCAGACTGTTTTATCAATTCTTCAAAAATCTCTGTTATCCTTATAAATAAACAACCTTTATTTCCACACCAATAATCTCTTTAAACAAAAACCGTCTGTTCAAATAATAGCAATAATGAAATTCGTGATCACTATCTTTATTCTTTTGGTATCCATTATCGTCCTTGTTGAAGCATCTCCTGTGGAAAAAAGAGGTGATTATCTTGATTATTTTGTTTATTAAAGGGTTTATTGCACTTGACTAATCCCCCCAAAAAAAATCATGAACCACATTAACTTCTTTGCATCTGTTGCTCTCATTAAAGAATCAGGACTTGTTCTACGAGGAGAAGAGTACTCTAAATTCGTAAAAGAATATGATCATGCTATGTCAACTTTGCAAACTTCTCTAAAGGCAATGGATAAAAGAATGGATATTTTTCATCAAAGAGTAGTAAAATTCACTGCAATCGTACTCGACGATGCGAATATAAAAAGGGCTACAACAGATACTCCTCCTGTATATTTTTTAAACTTCGTAAATACTCATCAGAAACTTATGAATGACATTACTGGTGCTATTGATGCTGTGGATAAGGCTACATCGGATTTTAAGAAATCTCATCAGAAGATGTGAATTTTTTCTAATTTATAATGTACAAAGTACTTCACGTTTTTTTTCTAATTTATATATATATAACGTATAATTTACAATGTACTTCACTTTTTTTTTACATTTCCATCTTCGTATAAATAATTAATAATATAATTTCCTTTGTTAATTCAACCTCACCGTTTAAAAATAAAGATTTTCCTATGTAATGACATTTACAAGATTATGATAATCATTTTCTTGTCACTGTCGCATTTGAAGTAGCGACTTATTTGAAGTAGTTGCCTGGCTAAAATTAAGCCCCTGAAATTAGATCGTCATGCATGCATTAGATTTTAATTTTAGCCAGAGTGCTACTTTAGATATATAAAGTGGCTACTTTAGATAAATCGCTACTTCAGATGTGACATCACCATTATAAAGTTCAAAACAAATTCAACTTTCAATTCCATCATTCAAAACGATGGCCAATGGATATAGTATAACTTGAATATCCAAATAATAGTGTTATACGGCAAATCGGCGAGTCTGTCGCTAATTCCTTCCAATCCTCGTGTAACCTACGGCGGCTAAGTCGAAATAGGCGTATTAGATTTGGCAGGGTGGTTTATCCGTAGGTAAGTACTATTATTCTCTCTTAAGTCTTTCCTTCAACCTATTCTTCTATTCACCTCTGCTTCCTCTTATCTTCTTTCTACTTCCTTAACTTGGGGTTACGATACGTCGAATCGGGTTGGAGTCCTTCTCTTGCGTTAACGGCTTGGTCACGTGATTTACGGCGAACGATTTAAAGGTGGTTTAGTGACTTAATAATGGCGAACGATAGTTGATTACGGTGTTTTTAACGACCCTATAAAAAATGGTGCACGGAATTTCTGGTCAAACACGGGTACGTGACAGTACGAGAGTATACAGAACTATATGGAATATAACACGGGATGGTGTACGGGAAAACGTGCACCGGACACGTAAAAAGGCACGAATTACGTGCAACAGTGCACGTAATGGCGTGCTTTTTTACGTGCTTTCCCATGCAATTTTCCGTATAGTTACGTATGTGGCCGTTTATTATTTCGTGCACATGCCGTGCACATGAAAAAATTTCGTGCAATTACGTGTTCATCGATTTTGCGTGTATGCGGATTCCGTGCAACTGATTTGATTTCCGTGTGCTATATTTCGTGCAGTCATGTGCAATCGCGTATAAAAATTTCTTATAGGGCGATAGTTTTAGTTTGGGTGGGATTATTGTTTCACTTTTAATATGGGTTCGATACTTTAAGTTTATTTTAGCAACTGTAAGTACTTGGGGGTATCGCTTGTTCATACTTCTTACTTGCCCCCTGGGCGGAAGGCCCTTTATTTATAATAAAACTTTTATTTACATTCGAGGATTATTTCCTCTACATTATCTATTTACAATATTCCATCCCTAAAACCCCTTTCCCAACCATAATAACCAAAAACCGAATGCCCCATATACCGCTGTTCTACCCGAAGTAACCAAAGTAATAAAAGTAAGAAAGTAAGATTTCTCTTACTTTTCATGTGACCAGCTACTCGGGTAGGCGACGGGACCTAATTTCGACGATCGTCACGTGAGACCGTGACCGATTTCGGGGCTCATAATGGTGTTAAGTTTCACCTGATCTTGGAATCTGATTCGTAGTTCAGGAAATCTGTGTCATAAGTCAGGCGCACATTTAAAACGTGCAAGAATTTTGTTTATCGTTATGCCACAAACCTGGTTATGTAATTGCATTGCAGATTTAAAATATCACATCATTTCTTATAGATTACTCGGCACGTCATCTTAGAGAAATTTGCATGTCACCCGTTTGCTCATTATATAGATAGCCGTTTGTGTTTTATAAAATATGATTGGTCAATGCCTTGAAATGGTAACGTTGCAAATTCAAGTATAGTTATGATATATTCAAACTATATGTAATATTTTGTCAATATCGATATTGCTAACTTTATTTAAATTCTCTGGTCATTGCTTTCAAGAACTCAGATTGCAATACTCTGAATTACGATTACAAAAACGACTATAGTATACCAGTACGATCACATTTTTGATGTCGCTTATGCTGATTTTGCAAATTGCATAAAGATCACGCATTATATCATCATGATGTAAATTGTAGGGTTGTTAATGGAGTGACATACTCCAGAGCAGCTCTGGAGTGAGCCCAACCCAAGTTAGAGTAAGTTGAAAATATGAAAATATGTTGGAGTGAAACTGGAGTAAACTGGAGCAGCTATAAGCAAATCTGGAGTGGCTTCAGAGTGAACCCAACCCAAGTTGGGAAATATCTCAACCAAAACCACTCCAACCCAACCCATTAACAACCCTAGTAGATTGACGTTCTGATTATTAGGCCATACAAACTTAATAAATCGGTTTTAATAATATAAAGTGACCCGGCAGCCCGGTTTTTTAATTTTATTTTCCAAAAATTATATATATAAAAAACAGAAATTTTTTTTAGAGTTTTGACCGGGTTATGAAAACCGATTTATTAAGTTTGTATGGCCTTAATTTCAATTTATCGTCAAATTTTTGTAAATTCGTTTTCTGGGATTTGAGGTTTTGGCTTTCACTATTTCACCAGATTTTATCTTGTTTTTTTTGTTGAGCTTATTATTACTACTTACTATTTTCGTTTTTATTCGTAATTATAGTTACGGAGAATCTCATAGGAAGACTTTCGTATGATTGGCTGTTTAAATCAATTTAATTTTATATTATTTATACAGTTTTTTAAAAAAATAAACCTATGAAAAATAATCCAAAAATAAGCATATAAAAGGGTTTATTAGGGTTGTAGGATTCAACCATAAAATAATTTCTGGGTTTAGAGAAGTTAGTATGATAGCGACTTCTTAAAGATAGATAGAATTAGGTTATTACCATTCTAACTTCTCTAAAACAAAAAGGGATTTTGATTATTTTTAATAGTGGAGTCCTATAACCCTAATAAAACTTTCTATATGCTTCTTTTTTGTTTATTCTTCGTAGTTTTATTTTTTTTTTAAAAACTGTATAAATGCAAAATTAAATTGATTTAAACAGCCAATCATACGAAAGTCTTCCTATGACGGAAATCGGTAATATAGTTATTATAATTCAACAGTAGGTAATTTAGGTAATGATTTTAACAGTGAAGTAATTTTAAACAATATTTGTGCTTATGGTTTTAACAGTAAGTAGATTAATAATTTCAGAAGTGAGTAGGTTCATGAAATTGACGGTGGGTAGGTAAATGATTTTGACGAATAGTCAACACATACTAATTTTAAGGTAGAATTGATATATTTTCAAATCGAGACCCCAAATTCTACATTAAATGAAAATGAATAACTCTAAAATTGTATTACACATTTTTGGTGAGTTGTCTTCGATCATGAAACCAGTAAAATCATTTTGACTGATTATCGTTATCAATGTACTTTATATGGTAACAATGACCTTGTCGGAACGGTTTCACAAAACTTTATATTTCTATATTTTCCTGATATGGTAACAATGAATAAAATACAGCCTTGTCCTTAAAACTATATCAAACTTCTAATTGTCTTTGTTTTATTCGAAATTCTTTGTAGGATTCTGTCTATTCAAAATTTTTTGATAGTTTTATCCGGTCGGCATCAGACTAATTTGCGAGTTCAAATAATATCTACAAAATTTTGCTTAAATTAAGCTTATTATGTAAGATAAAAATGTTGCTCTAGTAAATGAGACCTTGATTATAATGTATATAGGTTCTTAACATAAATTAGATCTCTGAATGTCTAACACATCCATTGCATTTGGGAAAACTATTCAAGAGTTTATGCATTTAAGTTAAAAAAGTGTGATTAAAAAGCCAAACTAATAATTGTGTGAAAATTTTAACTTTACCAATATCATATACGTATGTAATGAATTAGGTTGTTATATTTACGCTATTAATTGAATGTTGCTTAGTATTTTATACAAGGATAAAGTGTATGACCCAAATATTATAAAATAACTGAGTAATTTGTTATAACCATAATAACAATTTCTATCCAGGCACAATCATTATTGTCACATAAAACGCTCTTTCTTTAACTTATTGAACCAATCAAGAAACCCATTTAGCATATAATGACCTATAACAAAAGATTCCTACACTTTCTATTGTTGACATAGAAGGAAATGCACGTTCCTATGTTATAATATGTGAAACGGTAATTTTTCAATTAACTGAATTAATTGTCTATCGAATCACGTGGAAGCCGCCAAACGTCAATCGTGATGCTTGTTTTCTGTAACACTCGGTTCGCTTGTACTTACGCAGCTACACTTGTTATACATATTTGGTCAGAAAGCTCCTTGTCTTTCGGATCTTGTTTTATAAAGTCGCTGGTACGTGCGGTATGTACGTTACGTATAATTTATTTATTCTGTTTTGTATTTGTAGTAACAATAATGGACAGCATTATTAGCATTATTGGAAATATCATTTCGTTAGGTCAAGAGATCAATACCCGTTTTGAGAAACATGGAGAAGCTGTTGGGGAGCTCAAGAAACTGGAAAGAATTCTAAGACAGCTTAAGGAAGTTTTGGAAAACATTAATAAGGTTGATAAAGCTGATAAAATTGACAAGGATAAAATTGATAATATCTATATAATTGGCATCAAGGATACTCTTGTGAAAGCCCAAGATACCTATACGCAATGCGCAAAAGATCTTGGAATAAATGAAAATAAAAGCAAGTTTAAAATCTTAAAGCGGGGTATAGGAATATTTAGGTCACCCTCCATCTTGGAAAACATTCAAAAAATCATTCAAGAGATTGAGTCTGAACTTGACTTTACCAAGAATCTTTTGAGTGTCGTACAACACGCTCAAACTTCAACATCAGGGACCACTACGTCCACTAACACTCTAGGGTCAGAACTGAGAGGTGCTTTGGCAAATACGATTGAAGAAATCGTGAAAAGACTTCAAAGTGACTGTCAGCAACTTAAAGAGAGGCTTGATCGATGTACCCTTCCCGTTGACTCTTCCTTCCTTGATGATTTGGGAAGAGACAATCCGGAAGCAATTGCTTTCTGGAAGCAACGCTTCAGATCTACTGAACTCATTGTAGCACCTTTCGAGGTAAGTTAGCCGTTAATTAGGTGTTAAGTTGATAAAAGTCGGTTATTATTGATGCAGTACATTATTAATATATGAATGTAGAATATATATGTCTCCTGGGCTAGGTTTGTCCATGAAATTGAAACAGCCTTTTCACTAAAGAATATCCCGACTGCTACCATGACTTTCAATGAGAGTGATGAAATACGCAAAAACGGTAGTAGATATCTTATTAAATCAAATGGAACGTTTTATTTGAAAGATATTAGGCCACTTTGGCTTCCAGCTCTACGTGAAACATTGGATCCGTTGCACAAAGGCTATGTTAAACCACACGACTTTTTGTCTTTTCTTGGTGAAAAAAAATTATCCGAAAAGTTAAAGCAACTCGTTCTCAATAGTTGTGGGTACGGATTTATTGTAGAATGCCGGAAAACATCAAATGACATTCCGCTCCCATCTGAATTAGAATGTCCTGCTCATAATGTTGGTTGGATGTCTGCCTGCCAAATCGTTTCAGTACCATCATTGGAAGATCTTGGAATATTCTTACAAAATGGATTAAATCTAGACAATATTATTAAACACATCATCGAATATCCTGACATATGGGTGTGCGTTCGCTACCTTCAAACTGGACAAATTGAGAAAAAACTTCTTACAAAGGATATACGAATTCTCGGTGGACTCCGTATTGGAATTTCGATATCTGTCCGATACACATTAGAAGATGGTTCAAATGTTTGGAGTAGTAACTTTTCGGTTATGGAACTTAAAGCTTGTGTTGGTGGGCGTTATGTTGTAACAGCTAGATCAGATACGAATACCATCATATTTGTGACAATGCCGCCAGTTGGTTTTGATAATTTTGTAATACAGACCGATCAACATGAAGATTTAAAAGACTTACCAGAGCTTGAATATTGCCTCCTGGGACCTTCAACAGTATTTAGGCAAGAACCTAAAGTTGGTGAAAAAATTCAGGTGAGGAATTTTGTTTAATTTATTTGATATGGTATTAAGGTAATTATGTTTGAATAGCCATTACAGAATACTATATACTCATATTCAAACTGTGTTCATAATATATACAGGTCAAAGTAGATGAGTTATGGCATGATGTTAAAGTTACCGAAGTCAACGATAAAGATGTGACATTTGCGAATTGGTCTTTTGTTGACGCAGAAGACACCGAAAGCATTGAAGATTCGGAAGAAGTGTTTGGTTTCGCAGAGCAAACCTTAATAAACCTTGAAAAAGGTGAAAGCAGAAACTGGTGCCCATGGAAAGACGACGACGGTAGAGGCATAACAAAGTGGGACATTAGACCTTATCGCTGCCTCCACGTTGGTGATCTTGTAGAAGTACCTGTGGTGTATCCAGATTATAAGTATTGCTACTATAGCCTTGAAGACTCGCAATTATACCTTCCGGCTCGTATCATTGAAGTCGAGGGAGAGCAATATCTGGTTGAGTTCAACCCTGCAGTCATTGCTTACACTTGGTGGCCTGGCCGTTCTTCAAATCCAAGTAAATTTCCACGTAAACCAGGAGATAAAGAAACTGTCAACAATCCATTTGATGGCACGCGAGTATTGGTAAACATGGATCGGGTTCGCCCTTACTGTGGAGCAGACTCGCACCCTGTTCTGGGTATATCGTCGATGAGGCCACATAGCTGGTCAGTATTTCAAGGAATCCAATTTACGGACCTACAACAATTTAGCGAAGACATTTTGTGGAAGCAATAATAAATAGCATCAAAAATATTACACTTGCATTATATAAAATTATTATTATCGCAATTTGTTATTTATTTATTTATTTATTTCTAAAAATGAAATAAGCTTTATTTTTTTGTCGTAAACTTAGTAAAATATAATGAAAAATATAATCATAAAGGCGTGGCGACCCAACTCGTGTTAGAGACCATTTGCCGAAAGATTGACTTTATTTCTTATAGATATTAAAAAGGTGAATAGAATAGTAAGGCTTTCTCCAAATATACATATATATAAACAATACACTTTCTGTATAAGGAAAGTGACATATACTGTAATACTTTGAGGGGTTTCAATATGTATTAAAAAAAAACCATACCAAGGAAGAACAGAAGGTAAAGAAATAATAAGATTACGTAATATCCGTGACTTTATTAATTAGTGATATTTCTTAGCAGTAATATTTGATAAAATGGTATCATGATTTAAATTACTGTTATTGGTCATAATTTTAACCCATTGAAAATCACGGAACCCATCTGCTCATTTTCTTTGCCCGAGTGTCATTATTCGCCAGAGGCTTTGCACAAAACCTTATGCTCCTTATAGTGGCTTTTTTGACAATCTACACCGCAATAAACTACCTTTCGACATCTTCCACAACGCTTATTATTCTCATTTGCCTTTCCACAATTCGCACAGATAACCAAAGCAAGCAGTTCTTTTGCTTTCTGCAATGTCGCCCTTAAAATCTTTTGCTCACCAATACTAACATGCGCTGCTGCCCATGCGTTACTTCCTTTTTGATATGCACCAGAAGCAATTTTTGTTTCAAGCTCCTCAAAAGAGACGCTAAACCCAGCCAATAGGTTCTCACATGCTTCGTCTAAAGCTTTTAAAATCTCAGCCTCGTTGCGAGCACTAATCTTATCTTTAGCTTCGTGCTTTACTGCCAATGTGGAGATTTCCGAAGACGATAATCTCTGGATTCGTAGATATTGAAGCACATTCAGTGGTAGTGGGTCACTAAGTTTGAGGGGAAAAGTAGAGTTGACTTGTAAACCAATTGATTCAAGTAAGGCTACTTTTTGAGAATACAAAGGTGCTTGGGGGTGTGTAGTAAGAACAAGATCATAAGAATCATGGGGATTGTCGGTAAGGATGAAACCATAGAGACGTAGGAGTCTGTTATTTGGAACTGGACCATAGTTGATGAAGACCTTTTAAAATATAAATTTATAAGAGATAGAGATTAATATATAATTGAAAGTGCTTCAAAGTGTATCAAAGACGTAAGATAATGTGTAACCTGCTCTCCTGCTTTATATTCTTTTCCTGCCAATATCTGTAATCTATTCAATTTAGGATCATAAATATGACAAAGTTCAACATCAAGGGAATGATTTAACATGTCAGCGAAAGGGGCAATACATCTAAACTGCTTGTCAGACAACTGGAAATCCATTCCTCGGCTCCAAATAGTACAGAGAGCCCATATATACTGGAAGATTTAAGTAAATAAGAATAGTTAAAGTCATTTCGTTATATAGAACAAATAAAGATAGATTGCAAAAAATGAAAAATATAAGGCTAAGGAGAAAGAAAAAAACTCACATCATCTTGTGTAAATCTTTCTAAAGGGAATAGATCTGGATGCTTGGTGATTAATTTGTTGAGGAGTTGAAGGTAATCATCTCTAATTTGCTGTTTCAACTTTTGGGTTAGGTGATAAAGCGAAGAGCCAGCGCAGATTTCGAGTTCTTCGTCATTAAAGAATATACTTGCTGTATAACTGGTTGGTAGCAATTCCACGTGTGCCCGCCTCCCATCATATCCCGTTTCACACGACTTGATGAAAAGAAGAAACACTGCTAGTATATCATCAACTGATAATGGTGGTTCTACGGTACGTATGACAGTCCCAATGACAGGGTCACTAAGTGCCACATCTGCCGTCCAGAGAAGTGATCCTGGCACTGTAAGGACTACATCGTGAGACTTAAGGGACCGCAGCGTTTTAACGCCGCGTCCCGTATCGGGGAAATCTTCTAGTTGTAGCAAACTTAGACCTTCAACCCCACCATTTACAAGCCATTCCTGTAGCTTCATGGTTGGTATAACAGATATTTTGACAAAGCATAGCTACCTTACTGTTAAGAAAAATGAAATTAAGCTTAATTGTAGAGATATTACTGCAATAATATGAAATACGGCAATACTCAATACTGATAATTTTATTCCGTTGGATTGGCCAAAACTTGTGAACGAAGTCACGGGACAACTCTTTATTACGGGTGTGTTGAGATTAATGAGTACGTACGTACGGTACACCCAGGGTTGGCAATGGATAAGGTCCATTGAGAAAATTATCAATGGAGCCAATGGAGTGAATGGAATAGTATCCATTGGCTCCATTGATTCCATTGAACCAACCAATCATATTTATATTATTAATATATTCTAATTGATATAACTTTTGATCCACTGATCCGTTTTGTATGGTTTAACCATTAAAATGTTCGTCTTGACGAGAGGATTCTGACAAAGTCAAAATCGCTAAAATACAATCACAGGATCCCAAAATCTTTCAAATTTTGTGTAATTTTAATAAGATTTTAACTCTTATTAAATTTACACAAAATTTGAGTGATCTTGAGATCCTGTGATTATATTTTAGCGATTTTGACTTTGTCAGAATCCTCTCATCAAGACGAACATTTTGATGGTTAAAACATTCATAACGGACCAGCGGATCAATGATTTTATAAACTAAAATATATAATATATAGTATATATCGATATAATCTATAGTACATATGGTATATTTTTGGACTCCATTGGCTCCATTGACAAATTATTCTCAATGGAGCAATGGACCAATGTCAATGGAGGTCTACTTCATTGGGCCTAATAGATAAATGTGCCAACCCTGAACCTGTTAAAAACAGGTGAAGATCCTGTGATAACAAATTCTCTTAACGTTAAGCATTCTGATAATTTTGGAAATCATGTCAGAATATAAAATTGTGACTGATCCAATAGAATATCTGGGTTTACTCTTGTTGATTGTTGGTTACCATTTATATTTTTTAGTTTTAATATTAGGTAAACTTTGTTCTGATTTTAAAGCAATACATTCTAAGTCAACACAAATTTTAAAATCATAACAGCTCATTATCTACTAGCATTGCAATAATAACTCAATATTTTTATTATTACCGTTACCAGGCTATCGGTTCAGCAAAGTTTCTAATTTGGAAATGATATTTCGGTTATAGTTATAATAATAAGGTTCAAACATATAAAAACATGATATATAAGTAGTTAACAACATATCAAAAACAATATAATTTATTACATAAGATATATACGAAAAACAAAATACTATTTATAAAATAAGTATTATGTGTAATTTTTATAATTTTTTTATAGTTCTATTTTTAAACTTTATTCTTTAAGAACTTAACGAGGAAAATTAGGTTGCAGTTTTAAGCTAACATTGAGGTTTAGTAAAAGGTCTAAATTTAAGGTAAGGTTAGGTTTTGGGAATTCTAAACAAAACATCTCGTTTTACTTAGTATTCTTACATGTGTTAGATGGTACGTTTTAGAGATATAGTGTCCTGATAAATTTTTTTCTGATAAAGGTTAGAAATTTTTTATTTTTTGTCAAAAACGATGCTGAATTTTAACTTATTTTATTATAAAATTTTAAAATTTTTTGGGAGTGTTTTGTTCAGTTTTTTAGTTAAGTTATAATTTAGGTTAGTGTTTATAATAAAAGAATTTGAATGAATTTGAGTAAGATTTATATTTCAAATTAAGGTTTAAATTAAGGTTCGGATTTTAGCATTATTCAATTTTAATATCATTTTTACCATTTATTATTATTATTATTATTTATATAATACTATAGTAAAAACTTTAAAATAGTAAATAAAAATTTAATTACAAAAGAAATCTCTAAAATAAAAATTTTTAAGTTACATTTGTGTTGTTAAAATAGACACCTAATGTGACATTACATTTTTTATTTCTTAATGAGTGTTATAGATAATTATTTCAAATTATTTTTTAGTTAGAATAGGTTAAAGAAAATTTTAGATAAAAATCAAGACATTATATAAAACATGTAGTTATAGATAAATCTAATAGAAATTATTTGTTAATAAAATATGTAATGTTAATAGGTTGTGTAAAGTTTAAAAAATTGTTAGTACAAATAAGCATTGTAAAAAAGTAAATTTTTTGTATATTTAGTTTTAAGAGTTATATTTCAAAAGAGTTTTTTTTTTAAATATTAAGGTGAGTACTTGTAATCCAGAATTTTATTGATTGTACATTTAGCTAATAGTTGCATTACAACCACAAAGAGCAACTATAGAAAGAGTATACAATTAGCTATTCATACAACTTTAGTTATTGTCTAATTTAAGTAGTCTGTCCAAAGGTTTTATACTAGTTGCTATATCTAGAATCTGTTTATAAGTTTTTTATTTAAACATTCTAATTTTTATATTCACTTACCTATTTATACTTACCAATAATCCTGATTGATATCAGTAAACTATAACTACTAAGTCTTTAAAGCAGTTCACTTATATAGAAAATTTTTGATTTTGTACTAAACCTTTTAGAATCTTCTGTATCTCATTTTTACAGTTGATTCAATAATATTATAGTTAAAACTAACACTTGCAGTTAAAGTATATCATTAAACTGTTATGCTCTTATGGAGTTTATTTCAATTCTTGTACTTATTTTACAACATATCTCTATTACTTTGATATTTAATTTAAGTTATATCAAGCTTTCAGTTTAGATAGCCTGAAAGATAAGTATAATTTTATCTCTGATTTATATATTTTTTAGTATATAATCTTTTTTTTATTATCCTTTTCAGGATTCTAGTAGTCTGGCTAATTACAACAGTTCTTTTTTAAAGACTAACTTGTCTTTATCTAGCTTTACAAATTCTAGCTCTATTTCATAGTTCTAGTCTTTACAGTAGTATTTTCAAAATTTCAGATTATCTTTCTATTCAGGTTTTCTAAATAGACTTCTATCTTTTTAGTTTTTATAATCTACATGGTTATAAAAACTTATCATAGGTTTATACTAGTTTGTGTTTTTTTATACAAGATATAACTATTGCATGAATACTATATATTCTTTCAGTAATGCTAGTATAATACAGTTAACAGATATTTTATCTTAACCAATAATAAAAAATAGTTAATTATAATATAGAAAAAATTTTAAATTTTTATTGATACTAAGATTTAACTCCAAACTTATTATTTGGAAGTTAACAACATGTTTATTTTACTATATCATCATGCTTCTTATTTTAAAAGAGTTTTTATTAATATTAAAAATATTATATATAAGAGTACTAGTAAAAACTAAGCAAATTGTTTTTAAGTAAATATTTTTTAAATTTTAAATTAAATATCTTAACTATTATATCAAACTTAGTAATTTTTTATTTTATTTTAATTCTATAACTATATAAAATTAAAATAAAAAAAAATTATCAAGTTTGGTTTAATAATTGTTAAGATATTTTATTTTAAAATTTAAAAAAATTTACTTAGAAATAATTTGCTTAGTTTTTACTAACACTTTTTATATATAGATTATTAAGCAAGAAGATTATTAATAAGATTAATCAGAAAATTATTTATTTGTTTATTTAAAAGCATTTAATATTATTGTAAATAAGAATAATAATTCTAGTGTAATAGTTGAGTTGTCATTTTTTAACAATAGGTTCAGAGTTTAAATCTTATTGCCAATAGGATTTTGAAAAAATGATCTTATTTTAACAACTTAAATGAGATATTTAAAATGATAATTCTGTAATTCTTATTATACTAAGACTAATTTTAAAAGTATGCAATATCACACAAATAAATCTAGAAAGTATATACTTTATAAAAAGCTCTGTTTAAAAATTCCAATAAAAAGATACAGTATAATTTTGATATAATAAAAGGATCAAGCTAAAGGTTTTTCTTTACTATATCTAAATTTTAGTATATTAAAATGTCTTTAATATAACAAATTTATATATAATTTTATAAAAATTTTAGTTTATATAATGTCTCTTAATATAATAAATATAATATATAATTTTATAAAATATTTAGTTTATATAATATGCTTCTGATGAGAATGGCAATCCTAATGTAATAGTTGGGTTGTCATCCTCCAAGTAGCAGGTCTAAGGTTCAAATCCTACCTATAATGAAATTTGGTAATTATATCTGTGTTATAGTAAACTGTCTCTTGTCGATCAGTTAGATTTAGGTATCTGTAATCTTGGATACAACCAATCAGGTTTTACTCATTATTAGAAGCTTAGGGCATCTATGTGAAGTATAACATTATACGTATATAGAGGAATGTTAATAACTGTGTCACATAAGACTTCAGTGCAAACATATGATAAGGCCACTAGATGTAGAAGACCAAGAAACTGAGAAGACAGAAGCCCACTTAGAAATTCTCAAGTAAAGAGTAGCACAAGCCTTCGATAGTACTATTAGACTGATGGAAGCCCAGGAAACCCTAATAAGAAATAGGTGGACATGCAACCAGATGGAAAGATGTGTAGAGGAGCACATGACCAACCAGGCTGCTAGAATCACTAGAGAAAAAGAATACTAAGGTATACTGTACTAGGCTATCTGGATTGGAAGTCTGGAAAGTCTGTCAGATTCTGAGTTGGATAGTAGAAGGATAAAGAGAAGAAGTCAGAATGATAGATACTAGGATTTGGGTAAACTTTACAAGAGTAGAAATAGTATAATGTAGCAGTTAAACAGGTAACTCTTGTAACTGCAAGTGTTAGGTAACTATAGTGTATTACATAAAACTAGGTCAGCTGTGTGTGGGACACAAAAGGCTCTAGTAACAATGCTTCTGAGGATATACTGTATAAAATAAGATATGGGGTTCTAAGGGAAATAGGTAAAAGTATCTAGACCTTCTTGATTAATGGCTGTATCAGAGATGATCTAGTGACACAGTAAGGCTTGCAGCACAGAGGGTTTAAATAGGCAATGC